CTATTTAAAGTATAATGGCATAGTTACCTTTAATCCTCTTGCCACGTTCAAAGCAACTTTTAAAATTATGGGTGCTGGAAAAGGACCTTGGTTGTCTTTATTTCGTTCTTCTATTAAGTCATTTAGGGACTTTTCACCACCATATTCCATAGCAAGACATAGACTACCATCACTGGCTGCAGCGAAAGCACGATAGCCTTAAAGAAACATAACATTGTCTTATTACAATAGGGAAGACCAACAGCAACATTTGAGTTTTTTACAGTAAAGTAATGGAAAACGGGTCTGGATTAACGCTGACAAATATACAAAACTATTATTTACAAAACTAATTCAGTTGATCTAATTTAAAATGTTTGCAAATAGTATCACAAATTAAAATTAAAATATTTTCAGCATTCCTAAATATAGTGGTTCACCAGCCCTACAAATATTAAAAATGACAATAAATTATCTAAATGAAGATCATTTTATATTCCTGAATTCTCCATAGTACTAGCACCATAATGACTATATCTATTCCCATGAAATTTTAAATATATACTTAAGCATCTAAAAATATTATACACTACTTTTTATTTCAGAATGTTCACATTAATTTGATTCTTACCAAATTCTACCACTGTCCTCTTCATTTTTCATTAGTGAAATCGGTAATGAGATTATATAAACTGTTTCTGGATAAACAATTATATTATACCAAATACTACTACCAAATAAATTTAAACTTACCTACAATGTTTGGATGATGAAGGTTTTTCAAAATCTTAGCTTCATCAGTTAGTCTCTTTTGATACATATTTTGATAATAATCATTACATTTAGAATTAATCTTTTTCACAGCCCAAGGAGAATTAGACAAGCCTCTTGGAGATCTTTAAAAAACAATTATAAAATGTATAGAAAGATTAATAATCACAACACATTTCAAATGACTAAGAAAAACTTCCAAATTCTGAAAAGAACTTGACAGTAATTTGTTTTTTTAAAAAACATTTACAGTATTTTATACAATCAACACCTTTGCTATATATCCTTTTTAATTGAAAGATAAACAGCTGACATATTGACTGATTATAAGAAAAGTGTGTATCTATTGCTGGAAGGGAGAAGATAAAAA